TAATAATAATAATAAGAGCTTTATTGCCCAACAGTTTCCCATTTACAGGACAATATTCTTAATAGTAAGTAACAATAATAAAGTGGTATCTAAAAATAAAATTAATAAATTACAAAAGTAAATTCTACTTATGGGTTGTGATGTAACATATATTTACACGAAAACTAATTAAAAGTTGCAAAATAAAAACTATAATAGAAAACAAATGAATATTGTGAACAAGCCAAGAATATATTAAAAAAAAAAAAAAAATTCTTACAAAAATAACACAAGGAGAATTCAATGTAATACAATATACTTATTACAATATTTCGTTAAGGAAAGTAACTGCATTTTTAATTAGTTCACCAAGAGAACAATGAAAAATATCGCAATGACTACTAATTTTATTGTAATTGTTACACATTACATATCAAGGTGATTTTAACATCAAGTTGGTTTTTGCCCTAGGGCATTCGAATAGCTTGTTGGTTCTAGAATTTAGACGGGGTATATTAAATTTAATTTGTGACAAAATATCGCTACAATCAATAAAATTGTGCATGAGTTTAAATAGAAAAATAAGCGAGGGTGTGTTCCTTCTTAGGCTCAGGCTATTAATATTAAATTGTTTACACAACTCCGTATAATCACAACCACGTTCGGGATATACTCCATCAATTTTGAAAACTAGGTATTTTAAAAATTTTCTTTGAACCCGTTCTATATCCAGAACGTAGCAGTTGTAATAAGGGTTCCAGATCAGACTACAATATTCCAGCTTAGAACGCACGTGGGTACTAAATAATAATTTAAGGGGTGCTATATTTGAAAATTGCCTGCAGTTTCTAATAATGAATCCATACATTCTAAAAGCTTCGGAAACTTTAACTTGAATATGATTTGAGAAGGTTAATTTAGCATCAAAAATTACACCTAAGTCCCTAATAGTAGAACATCTCTCCAACTCATTATCTCCAATCGAATATGAGAATTGAATATTTTCTCTTTTCCTAGAGTAAGTAACTATCTTACATTTTTGAGCATTTAGGTGTAACATGTTTGTCTTACACCAGTTATTAATACAGCTCAAATTTCTCTGGAGCTCATTGCAGTGATCTGTATTTTTAATACTTAAGAAAATCTTTAAATCATCCGCAAAACACAATTTATTACAACTAATTTCATTGTATAAATCATTAATAAATATTAAAAATAGTAAAGGTCCAAGATTTGAACCCTGTGGTACTCCAGATGTAACCGCAATTGATTCTGATTTAAATCCATTGTAAGTAACGAATTGTGTCCTATTTGATAAATATGACTTAAATAAAGCTAAAGTGCTGTTAGAAAAACCAGTCTTTGAAAGTTTTGAAATTAAGAAGCTATGCTTAACTCTATCAAATGCCTTCGAGAAATCGGTATATATCACATCCACCTGTCCTTGGTCATCCGCAAATGGATATATACGATTATACAGAACGACCTCGAAGATCTTCGAAAAGTTGCACAATAGTGACACCGGCCTATAGTTTCCTACCTCAGACTTTGTCCCGCTTTTAAATATTGGGCATATTCTAGCTTCTTTCCATAGTTTAGGATATTTCCCCGTCTTTACCGATAAATTAAAAATTTTTAAAAGAGGCTGTGTTAAAATTCTGGAACAATCCTTAATTAAGAAGGACGGTATGTTGTCTGGACCCGATGTCATCATATTTTTAAGTTTACCAGCAGCCACATCGATTTCTTTTTCACAAAATGCTGACATATTTATTGTCATGGGTTGCGTACTAATATTTCCTACTAGTTCATCAGGATTATCGGAATCCGAAGGTAAGTATACCCTTTCAAAAAATGATTTGAATGCATTAACTATACCTTGCGGATCACTGAAAACAGTCCCATCTAAACTCATTTCACCTGGTATTCTCGAAGATTTGTTTTTTGAATGTATATAAGACCAAAATTTTTCAGTTTTACTGGAAATGGAGTTTCACTATGTTTGGGTAATCTTTTATCAGCCGATCTGGGATTATGTTTTTAAAATTGATTTAGAGTTTTATGTTTGAGCAGTTAAAAACCTCTTATGGACCGAATATTAAAATAAGCAAAAAAAAATAATTGTTGTGCTAAATATAGTAGAATAGGGTATATAAATAACATGCTGTGATAACATTTTCAAAATTTTATTTTCTTTTAAGAAATACGTATCAAATGGTCACAACTGACCAAACATGAAATTGCCTAAAACAGTTTCGTTGTTTAGATAAGCACAAATAAATGTGAAATTTTTCACAATAAACTGATGTTAGGTTAAAGCAAATTGGATATTTACACCGCTGTCGACTTTCTGTGACCATTGCAAAATGTCCAACATTATCTCTTCTTATTATCGATAGTGGTATTGGTTTTGCAGATCCTCTTTTCTTTTTTTTCTTTAAATTGTTGCTGAATTCTGTCACCTTCCTCTTTTCTTGGACTGTATATCTTTATTTTTTTTTACACAAGATATTGGCTATTTCTGATTTGAATGTCAGCAAATCATCCACTTCATTTTTTCTAAAAGAAAGTGTCTTAAAATCTCGCTTGTAGATTAGCCAACTATTCACAACACACACATCTATGAAGTGAAAGAAAAAACGTAAATAGTATTTTTTGGATGTTTTGATAAGCGATATTATGAGATAAGACCATCCAGCAAATATACACCACCTATGAACTTATTGTACAGTTCATCAAATTTCTAGAGGCTTTCGACGGCTAGACAGAGAAAGCACTACTGACAGGTATCCTGACGGATTTATGCAATGAAAGTACACTCTGCGCATCAAGTATTTCACTATTTCATTCTGACGTAAATGTCAGATGTAAATTTCGCTAAAACATTTCTTTTATTTTCGTTTGTGTTTTTTGCTCATTACAGTTTAATAGAACCTAAGTATGGAGTTTAATAGCAAATTAAGAGGCCACGTGATTATCAGTCAATCTCGCGAAATAATAGCCAATGTTATAGAGTTTTATGAGAAGAGAAGGAAACTTTAATTCACCTTCAATACCATTTAAAAATGTAAATGTTCGTGTTGCTGCAGCCACAGGAGTATCTAAAAACACTATCGTCCGCATTTCTGGAGAGAAAAAAAGAATCGATAACCGAGAGATATCGGAATTTTCATCACCAAGAAAAACCATTAAAAAACCAAAAACAGTTAATGATATAGATGAAGCTGCACAAGAATCAAATTTTATTTTTTTATTATTAGATAGCTATTTTTGTTTCTGAGTTGTGTTCATTCTCGTTTTTGACTTATTTCGACGTAAATCACAACACACTTTTTTAATAAAGCAAACAAGTGTTAAGGGGTATATGTACGTGTAAACTACAATTACAAAAAATTGATATGAAACCCATGAAACCACCAACAAAAATGTAAAGCTAGCTTCCGTACTAGAACATGGTGTCATTCGTCGAGATAATTTATCGTTTTGTTTAATAGATCAAGAAATGTAAATATTCCCCTGTTATTTTTTATAAAATTATAAGAGAAATAAATTTTTTTCTAAATAGTATAGTTTATTATTTTGTAGAAAAACAAAATTTCGAAAATTTTAGTAATGTTTCAGAAACAACCGTTATTAATAATAGGTACCATTTTCCTTAATAAGGTAGAAATAAAATATAAACTATTTCCACGATTTACAAAGGCCTACAAAAAAATTATAGGTATTTTCCGCTATCCTATATAGTTTATATTTTCTGACTCAATTGCAAAAGGTTGAAGGAATTCCAAAACACCTTTTATGGCATAATTATTATTTTCAATTCTACATACTATCTTTAGCTGCTTTTAAAAACGTTCTAAGAAAGTCCAATCAGACCAATTTAATCCCTAAACTATTCCACACTTTTAAAATTTAATTACCTAAAAATATTAAAAACTATTTAAAATAACTTGTTTAGCAGACTGTACAATAGCTATCTTAGTCACACGTAGCGCGTTCTCTGTCTGGGCGTCGAACACCTCTAGAAATTTGATGAACTGTACTTTAAAATAATTTCTGGACCAGTTACCATGATAGGCTGCTTGGTTTTTTTATTAAATATCTGTATGAATGTTGTAGGATGAGCTGAAGTAAACGAAGACACTAAAGCAACTGGCTTGTTATCAAACCATTTCACAGCCCTCATTTTACATCCTTCAATATCAGCCTCTTTTCATCAAAGCTTCCGCGACCTCTTTTCTTCATTTCTTTGTCTGATGTGAACGTCAGTCCTTTGAATCTTGGAAGTCGAATAGTTCCAAGTCAGTAAATTCCAACCTTCTGAAGCAGAAAAAATAATTTTTCGGATGAAAACCAGTTGTCAAAGAACAAATAATAATGATTTTCATTATTTTTTGGGATTATTTCAGACAGTTTTAAAACAACATTAGAACTAGCAACGATATCAGGAAAATTGGAACTTGGATCTATCTTGCCTGTGTAAATGTCAAAATCGTATATGATTCCTTTTACATCGCATAAAACAAAAATCTTATAGCCCCACGTATGGGGCTTTTTTGGGTTGGATTTTTTAGGAAACTTCGACCTTTGAAGGGCACTATTTGTTTATCAACACACAAGTTCTGTTGAATTTTCTTTTCAAATTTTCAATAAAAGGTCTAATCTTATGAAGACGATCTCTGTTGTTTATATCGATTTCATTATTATTATTCATGTAGAGTGATGCTTATATTTATAAAAAGCGATTGTTGCTAATAATGTCTACAACTTAAGGAATTCTAGTGGAGTGTGACCAGTACATCTTAGTTTTTGGTAAGTTATATATCGACATATACATACATATGCCAACAAACTATTTAACGAGGAGATCAAATATTTCTTCATCAAAGAAATCCTCAAAGTATGTACATGCTTCATCCACACCTCTGTCGTCTGGTAAATTTGCTAACCATTCAGGTTTGCTTCTAGGATCCTCAGAGAAAACAGCTTTTCAGACTATTCTTGTTTTTTTATCAACTCACTATCAGTTGAATTATTTTCATTACTATGATCACTACCATCACTAGAGCTTTCATGTCCTCTACTATCTCCTACTACGAAATATGGGTCATCACTATTACCTAAGTAGCTATCGTCTTTGTCAAGAGGTGGTAAATGTGAGCGACTCATCTGAAAAAATTAAAAATATCCATATAAACCATTGAAAAATATTTGATACGATATGATATTTTATCTTGGTAACCACTATATCATAGTACATATACAAATGAGAAAATCGGATAAATATCAAGAAAATGAATCAAATTCAATATTATATGACACGCACACAACACTTTACGAGTCCTTCAGTACACCAAACAGAAAAAGCAAATACATTCACTTTATTTTCAACTTTGCCCACTTGTGAAAATACACAACTGGTACTGTCATTAATAACCTCGAACTACTAAACTTATTAATTTATAAGTTCAGCACCTTTTCCATAGATGGCGGTAGCAGTATAAAAAGATATGGATAAAATAAGTTACAATGGTGTAAGTAGCTCAGTTTTGATTTTTTTAACCTAAAATAAAATATAAATAGGATCGTATCATATTTGATACGGTCCACAAGATGTTAAACTGCGTAGTTTTTATAAGTATTCACCTAGATATTATCGCGAAAATAGTCAAAACGGATTCAGGGGACCCCAAAACGTGAAAATCCATCATAAGTTCGAGGTAAAAAATCATAAATCCTATATTTTCCTTATCTGTATACAGACAGAAGCTTATTGGAAAGAGTTCAATAGCCGACACTGATACTGATACTGTTTAAATTGAAAACGGCTAAACTATAATTCATAATTGAAGAAGGAAGCAAAATACGTTTTTTTTAATATTATTTATAAAAAATATTAATGTATTACACTTGAGACTAAATTTCTTAGTTTAGGAGTAATAATTTTGACAATATTTCATTTAATTTAAAGGAAAAACTCTAATTTTAAACATAACTAAATTATTAGACTTTTAGTGTAAATGACATGGATAACAGATGTACGTTTCAATAGTTATGATTTGTATTTTCATGATAAATGTAGTATCTGGTTTATAATTTCATATAACTTTTGTTTCTCACATTTACGCAAGCTTAAAAAAAATCCTTTTTTATAAAGAGTTTCTTTATAATTAAATTATTGTAAAAATACAACTTCTTTATTACTTTGTTTTCACCCCAAATACTCACACTTCACACTGTATAACAGGGAAACTCAATAGGAACTTTTTTAGTATATCAAACTGTCATGATAATATAAAAGAAATTATTTAATAGGCCTATTTTATGAATAAAATTTCGTATTAAAATAAAATATATTGTTGTGACTGCCTCCACACATTTTTTAAATTTGACCCTGTCAGATAACTCTGGTATTCGCTCCGTGCGCGACAGCAGCGCCAATTCATTTTGGTATTAATGGACTATTTCGGCGTATACTGACAAATGCAATTTTTAATAGAATTCGTGATTAAAAAGTATATATGTTAGTTTTAATAAAAATATATGAATTTGTAAAAACAATTAAAACATTAATTTATTATTATTATATATTTTTATCTCTTAAATTAAAGAAAATTATGTATAATCAATAAAAATGAATAATAAAATATAGGCAGGCAACAGTATTTACGGGAAAATGTATAAGAAGTTGCCTAAGTCTAATACGTTGTCATTGAAGAATTATTCTGTCAAAATAAAAAATACCATTTAATAATAGCGTGAAGTTAAAATGTATAAAAAAGGATCGTTATTTATATTTTCATTTTTGTTGGAAAGAAAACATAGAATGAATAATTAAAACTGATTTCCCATCAGTAAGTTACAAAATTGTATTCCAGCCACATATAATAATAATCAAAGGCAGACATTTTGAAATCTAGTCCTTGCTAAATGAACATTTAAGAAAAAAGGGATATTACAGTTCATCAAATTTCTAGAGGTGTTCGACGCCCAGACAGAGAACGCGCTACGTGTGACTAAGATAGCTATTGTACAGTCTGCTAAACAAGTTATTTTAAATAGTTTTTAATATTTTTAGGTAATTAAATTTTAAAAGTGTGGAATAGTTTAGGGATTAAATTGGTCTGATTAGACTTTCTTAGAACGTTTTTAAAAGCAGCTATAGATAGTATGTAGAATTGAAAATAATTATTATGCTATAAAAGGTGTTTTGGAATTCCTTCAACCTTTTGAAATTGAGTCAGAAAATATAAATTTTATAGGATAGCGGAAAATACCTATAATTTTTTTGTAGGCCTTTGTAAATCGTGGAAATAGTTTATATTTTATTTCTACCTTATTAAGGAAAATGGTACCTATTATTAAGAACGGTTGTTTCTAAAACATTACTAAAATTTTCGAAATTTTGTTTTTCTACAAAATAATAAACTATACTATTTAGAAAAAAAATTATTTCTCTTATAATTTTATAAAAAATAACAGGGGAATATTTACATTTCCTGATCTATTAAACAAAACGATAAATTATCTCGACGAATGACACCATGTTCTAGTACGGAAGCTAGCTTTACATTTTTGTTGGTGGTTTCATGGGTTTCATATCAATTTTTTGTAATTGTAGTTTACACGTACATATACCTCTTAACACTTGTTTGCTTTATTAAAAAAGTGTGTTGTGATTTACGTCGAAATAAGTCAAAAACAACTTGAAACCCCATATAAAATCAAAAAGGAGAAACGGAAAAAAATTGAGCCTGTAAATGAACACAACTCAGAAACAAAAATAGCTATCTAATAATAAAAAATAAAATTTGATTCTTGTGCATCTTCGTTGTAAAAATAGATAATACTTTTTTGATCTTAGGTACAGATATAATTTTAATGGTCTTCCGAAAAACTTTCTTCAGTTTCCATATCAGATTCAAAATCAGTCTCACTGTCACTGTTTAAGTTAATTATAAATCTATCAGTTGCCTCATCCAAACTAACTTCTCTGTCATAAAATTTAGATTCCCACATTTTAGCATTATTACAACGAGATTGCCACTCCTCTTTAGAAAACGTACAACAGTTGTACGTCTTGCCTCTTAAATGTAGGGTTGTTACTAGCTACATATTGTTTCAATGATGCCCACACTAATTCGATCGGATTAAGATCGGGATGATACGGTGGCAAACGCAAACAACTAAAACCATGTTCATTTATCATTTCTTCAATTGCATACCTCTTAAATCGTGACTTATGCAATAGCACTAAACTGTATAATTGCGTTTTGAGCATATCCTCTTCGTAAGCAATATTATGATTCCTTAACCAATCTTACATGTCAGCTTTTTTAGAAGTTGACGTTGGTGCTTTATTTACCTGGACATTATGGTAAGGAGCATTATCAACAATAATGACGCTTCTTGGAGGGAGGTTCGGAAACAGCTTTTCTTTCAACCATTTAGAAAAATTATTAAAATTCATTTCATCGTGGTAGTCTCCACTTTTGGTTCCAGATTTGAAAATTAATCGGGCATTCGGAATAAAGCCCATTTCACCTCCTGCATGGACAATAATTAGTCTATCACCTTTATTAATTGGTTTCTTTAATCCCTCATTTGAATTATCACTCCAAGCTTTCTGGTGTGTGTGTGGGAGGCATGAATGTATGTTTCATCTAAGTAGACAATTGGACAGCCCTCTACTCGATAACTTTTTAAACGAATCAGATAGTCTAAACGTAGCTTTTGAATATCAAACCTTTCCATTAATATTTTTCTGTTTGTTTTTGTTTTCCGCCAACGAAATCCTAGCGACTTTATTATTTTTCTTAAACTTTCATAGCTTCCTTTGTACCCTGTAGCTTCTCTAAATTTAGTCAGAATTGTTTTTAATGTTGGAACAATATTTTCCGAGATTAACATGAACAGAATAATTCTTTTTAAAATACCTTTGTCAGCTTCATCTATATCATTAACTGTTTTTGGTTTTTTAATGGTTTTTCTTGGTGATGAAAATTCCGATATCTCACGGTTATCGATTCTTTTTTTCTCTCCAGAAATGCGGACGACAGTGTTTTTAGATACTCCTGTGGCTGCAGCAACACGATCAATTACATTTTTAAATGGTATTGAAGGTGAATTAAAGTTTCATTCTCTTCTCATAAACTCTATAACATTGGCTATTATTTCGCGAGATTGACTGTTAATCACGCGGCCTCTTAATTTGCTATTAAACTCCATACTTAGGTAGGTTCTATTAAACTGTAATGAGCAAAAAACACAAACGAAAATAAAAGAAATGTTTTAGCGAAATTTACATTTGACATTTACGTCTGAATAAAATAGTGAAATACTTGATGCGTAGAGTGTACTTTCATTGCGTAAATCCGTCGGCCCCGCCAACCGATGCCTCTCAGTAGTGCTTTCTCTGTCTAGCCGTCGAAAGCCTCTAGAAATTTGATGAACTGTAAAGAACATCGTAAAATGATAATTTATTGTTTATTTAAAACCTTTCAAGTTTCTGATGTCTACTATTTCCAATATTACTGTTATTTACCTCTTTTTTGAACATATAACTCACACATGGCTACCACCTTCAACTTTAATTACTGTTATTATTACAAAAATAAGGGGAATTTTTCTTCTCATTGTACACCTATCCATTTATTTCTTTGATTTAATTTCCACTTTGCTACTGAAATTTTTTATATAAATTTTACTGTTTTTTTTTTAGTTAGTATTTGTACAATTTTTAACACAGCAACTCCGGTTGCTTATTCTATTGTTTTCACCTACTTTTTTGAATAATAGTAAAATATATACGTGTATTTGATATGCCAAAATTACAAAATATCGCCCTAAAATGCACGAATTATCCGCAGCTAGCGCTAGTATCGCTTTTGCTTCCCTTTGCATGACTTCGCACGGAGCGAATAGGAACAGCTATCTTCAATGACATTGCTACAAAGTAAGTTTTAAACCTAAAAACAGAACGTAAATAGTAAAGATTGGGGTTCGACTCTTGGAGCTAGGCAGTTTGGGTCAAAATGTTGAGACTAAACTTGGTATATTCCCTAGTTAATATGGAGGGGGTATAATCTTTAAAAAAATTAAGTTTCCATAAAATACTTGAAATTTACAATTTTATCTAAATCTGTATCTTTGTTGGTTATAAGCAGGTA